ACTGGAGTTAAGACAGTTGAGAGCCACCATGTGGTGCTGGGATCTGAACCCTGCTCCTCTGGAGGAATAGCCAGTGCTCTTAACTGCTGAGCCATCTCTCCAGTCCAGCCCCAGAAAGAGTTTGGCTAAACGTAGTCCAGGCTGGCATGGAACTTGCAATCCTCTTAGCTCAGCTCGTGAGTGCTGGGATATAGACCCATAACTATTCCGGGCTGCCATATGCTTCTCTATATCATACCAACCCACCTTTGCCGCTCCATCACTCTCAACTTAAAATCTCCAGTTTAAAGGAGTCCTGAAACTATTTCCTTTCCTTTCTGCTAAGATCTATAGGGTCCCCTCCTTCCTTTTTTTTTTGAGACAGTCTCTCCCATTCTCAGTGTTACAGCTCTGGCTGTTCTGGAACTTACTTTGTAGACCAGGCTGGCCTTCCACTCATAAAGATCCACTTGTCTGTCTCCTAAGTGCTGGGATTAAAGGCATGAGCCAACAACGCCCAGCTGAGGTCCCTTTCTTGAAGTGACCATGCCATCATCCCTCTCTCCCATCAGCAAACTGAGCAGCCTTGAGTACCTGGACCTGTCCCACAACCAGCTGGCCACAGTGCCTGAGGGTCTCCCTGGAACCCTGACCATACTGCACCTGGGTCGCAACTGCATCCGGCAGGTGGAAGCGGTGAGGCTGCACAGAGCGAAGGGCCTGCGCTACCTGCTGCTGCAGCACAATGAGCTGGGGGCCTCGGCGCTGCCCGCGGGGACGCTGAGGCCTCTGCGGGCCCTGCACACGCTGCACCTCTACGGCAACAGGCTGGAGCGCGTGCCCCCAGCATTGCCGCGCCACCTGAAGGCCCTGGTGATGCCTCACAACCGCGTGGCCGTGCTAGGTGCGCGGGATCTGGTTTCCGCGCGAGCCCTAGCCGAGCTCAACCTGGCTTACAACCGCCTGACTAGCGCGCGCGTGCATCCCGGCGCCTTCCGCCGCCTGCGCGCCCTGCGCAGCTTGGACCTGGCCGGCAACCAGCTGAGCCGGCTGCCGGAGGGCCTGCCCGCCAGTCTGTGCTCCTTGAGACTGCAACGTAACCAACTGCGGGCCCTGGAACCGGAGCCGCTGGCCGGCCTGAATAAACTGCGGGAGCTGAGCCTGGCGCACAACCGGCTCCGCGTGGGCGACATCGGGCCTGGCACCTGGCACGAGTTGCAGGCACTGCAGGTCAGGGGTTAACTACAGTGTGCTTATCTCCATCCCACCGCTGGCCCAGCTACTCCCCAGCTCTGTGCCCCGGCATGCCACAGAGCCCCATGTGGGCAGCCTGAGATGGCGAAAACAGACCCTGTTTGGGTTGTTGCTGGTGTGTCCCCACCTCCTGGGGGGAGACGACTTCTGAACACTCCTCCATTCTACCCAGCAGCTGTGCTCTGGCAACCCAGCTGGGCACAAGCTAGGGCCCCTATCCCTTTCTGACCCCAAACATCCTAGTTAGAGCCAAAGGCCATCTAGGCAATCACAGAAAACAAGTGTGAGGTGAGGAGCATGGCCAGGTGTGGGGACCGTGCCCCGCTGCACAGCACAGGGGAGGCTCAAGCAGGAGTTGGGTTTGAAACCAGCTGAGGTTACTGAAAGACGACAGGAAGGGGAGGTGGGAGAGGGAGTGGAGGAAGAGAAAGGAAGGAAAGAAAAAACAGGGTGTGAGTGAGGGGGACCAGCATCTTCACATCCTTGTCTTGCTGGATCAGGCAGGTGGAGACCACATCTACCTGTACCTCTCATGATAAGATCTCTATGGAGTGAAGGAAGCCTCGCTGGGCATGGGAGAGGCAGAGGACCAGGGGGGAGAGGGCTGGGAGCTCTGTGGATGTGAGGCCCAGGCCCTGAGCCCACCACATCTGTGCCTGTCAGGTGCTGGATCTGAGCCACAATGAGCTGTCCTTTGTGCCCCCTGACCTGCCTGAGGCCCTGGAGGAGCTGCACCTGCAGGCTAACCGTATCAGCCACGTGGGCCCAGAGGCCTTCCTCGGCACACCCCACCTTCGTGCTCTCTTTCTGAGGTGAGGGCAGGGGAGTCCGGATGGGGACAGTAGCTCCTCAGCCACTGCCCTGACATCCCTGCCTCTCCACACAGGGCCAACAGGCTTCATGTGACAAGCATCTCGGCCGAGGCCTTCCTGGGGCTTGCACACCTACGTGTGGTAGACACCGCAGAAAACCCAGAACGGGTCCTGGTCCGGCTGCCACCCAAGGGCCGGGGGCCCTGAGCCCTGAGGGCTAGCCAAGTAGCCCTGGCCTGAGTGCTGATGGATGGTGGGCTAAGAAAGGTCTAGTTGGGCCTTGGAGACTGGGCCTGTTTGTCAGAGCTGGCCAAAGCACCAGGAGCGGGCGTCCACAATAGGTGGGGTTGGGGGTGCTAAAGCGGGAAGTGTGATGACTTAACGTTCTGGGGTGTGGACTGCACCTCCCACCAGCTGGTGATGGGGAAAATAAACTGGACCCCTTTCCATGTTCATACAGATATGGACTCAGTGCCCTCTGGGACCCACCTCTTCCCTGCACCTCAGGGGAATATCTTTCCATCCCTGAGACCAAGCGGGGAGGCAAGGCTCCAGGATTTGAAGTCACACAGTTTGGTCCCATGGCCAGTGACTGATGTGGATGACCTGAGACAGACACGTGGGTCATTAACCACAAAAGACCCAAGCCATGGGCTCACCCAGGCCTTTCCAGGGAACTGGGCTGGGTGGGGAGGCCCAGGCCAGCCACTGAGTGGGCTATATCAAGGAAAAGACAGAGCTGAGGCGGGCATGGCCTTGGCTGTTTATTCTGTGTTGACCCTGGTGGGGGTGGGGCAGCTGTGTCAGCACAGCCCCTGGAGAACCCGCTGAGCTGGACAGCCTTAGTGGCATCTTTGGAGAGGGCTGTGGGGTTAAGACTGGGGAGGGGCAGGAAGTAAAGTGCTTGCAGGGCCCTCTGGGCTTGTGTCCCAGCCACCCTCCTTGCTCCAGATGCTCCTGGATGTGCAAACAGGACTCTCCAAGGCCCAACCAGCCAGACTGGGGTGAGGGTGCTGTCCCGATGTCCCTGGGGCCGGGGGCCTGGACAGGGCGAGTCCAGAATGTCCGCTGATTGTCTGCTTGTCTGCTCGGTGGCCCTGGAGCTCAGCCTGGCATTGTGCTGTGGGGCCTGTAGTCCAGGGATGGGCCTCACCTGCGGAGTCGCTGCAGCTAGGGGAGGCACAGGGGGTCAGGGGACCATCACCACATGTGCCCCGCCCCCCACCCGTGGCCACTCACCTCATTCTCCACCAGATTTCGCCGGTACAATGCCTCCTTCGCAGCCTCCTAAGGGAAGGGGTGATTGGCTGACAGTCCAAGATGACCCTGTCCCTAAACCCCAGGACCCACCACACGGGTCCAGCTTACCCTGCTTCCGTCATAGCCCAGGCGCCGGGCGGCCTCTGTATAGAAATGCAGCTGGCGCTCCAGATGGGTTGCGTACTCTTGAGAAGTGGCAGTGAGGGTCAGGGTCAGCGTCAGGTAGCTGCTTCTCCCCACTTTTGTCTCTGTCCCATTCCACGGGAATTCTCAGTTCCCTACCCCCGCACACACCTCTCTCCTGTCAGGCGGCCTCTAGCTCCTTTTACAGTCCCTCCTTCCCCAGCCCCACCCCTCCCCAGCCCCACTCCTGCCCTACCCCTGCGGATGCCAGCGCCCCCCTGCTCCAGCTGTGCCCTCTGCCACTGGCTACGTTGAACTACGTCCTGGTACTGCTGGGCCACTTCTGGGGGCACAGGCCGGCGTGCCTGCCTCAAGGCCAGGATCTAGAAGGTGAGGGGGGGGGGGCAGTGAGCCGATCTGAAGCCTGCTGCTAGGCCCGCCCCACTGAGCCCAGCAGGACTGGCACCCACCTTCCTTTCTAGCCGCTCTTGGTCAAAGGCCAGCACACTGAGGCTATGCAGGGGCCGGGCTGATCTGCAGGGGAGAGAGGATGCTGAGGGCTCAGGAGGAAGGGGGGGGGGTCCAAAGGAGTCAGTGGGCAGAGCCACAGGGGCGAGGAGATCTCAGAAGGGCCTCAAGAAGTCCAGAGACCAGGGAAAAGTAGATCTGATGCTGGAGGTTCTGGGGCATGTCTGCCATTCCAGCACTCAGGAAGGTGGGGCAGGGGGATCATGAATGGGTTTGAGACCTTCTTGAGGGAGAGAGACAAAGATAGAGACAGAGACAGAAGAAAAGTAGCCACGTCCATGAACTGAGAGGAGGGACAGAGTGAAGAAAGAGGAGGCTGAGGATGTTGACAATGGTCAGATATCAAAAGGGCAAGCAGATGCCGGGCGGTGGTGGTGCACCCTTTTAATCCCAGCACTCGGGAGGCAGAGGCAGGCAGATCTCTGAGTTCAAGGCCAGCCTGGGCTACAGAGTGAGTTCCAGGAAAGGCGCAAAGCTACACAGAGAAACCCCATCTTGAAAAACAAAAACAAAACCAAACAAAGGGTCAAGCAGAGGCTTTTGAACTGAATTCCCTAAGAGAAGGTTTCAAGAATGGCTCTGGAGTCAGATAGGATATGGTGTGATGTGCCATGGAAACCACACAAGGAACTGAGACGAGAGAGGAGTCGCTTCAGTGTGACCTAGTCCAGACTCACCTGTTGTTCCCTGGTTCCCTCCAAGAGGCAGCTATGGGAGGCACCTTTGCTTTGGGCCCAGTGACCTGTTTTGGTACAGAGAGCCAGTCCAATGAGTACTGAGCCCCTGACCCCAGCCCTACTCCCAGGGGTGGCTGATAGGCAGGGGACTCACTGTGGGCACAGCTGCTGGGAGGTGATCAATGACCAGCCACCTCTCCGTTGTAGTCTCCAACTGCTGGGCCGTCAATGGCTCCCGGATCCGGACCATCACTTCAAGCCGCCCCCCAGTGGGCCGGCGACCATCCAAAACCTAGGTAGGAATAAGAAGGGGTGCTGTGGGTAAGAGCAGCAGTCTCAAACAGAGCCCTCAGGAATGCCAGGGGTGACGCTGGTGACGCAGTCTGCAAGCACCCGCCACCGCCTCACCTCCAGGATCTCATGAACTTCGCAAGCTGTCTCCAACATATCCAGCTTCAGCTGCGCTGTGCCCAGTACCCTGTCAGTCTTGAATAGCCCCCTGTGTGTAGGAAGGTGTAGGGAGCGGTAACGGTAGGCAGGCTACTCCTCAGCCCTGGAGCCCAGAACCTGTGACCCCTGACTCACCCCTTGTGGACCACTTCAAACTTGATACCCTTGGTTTGAATGGCCCTTCGGAAGCCACGGTGGCCACGGTTGATGCAGAGTTTGAACTGCTCCTTGAATTCTATGCAGGGAAGGAGGGAAGAATGAGAAGAGGCTGGCTGTGGGGATGTGTGCACTGGCCTGTGTGTGTTGTGCACGCGCGCGCGTGCACGTGTATGGTTCATGTGGTGGTCAAAGCACCACCCCAGGTGTCAGCCTTCACCCCGCCTTGTTTGAGACGATGTTGCTCTCATTTGTGCACCCCAACATAACTGCCCACAAGCTCTCTTGTTCTCACCACCGCAGGAGTGTGGGGTTGCAGAGGTGTGTTACTGTGCCGCCTTATGTCAGACCTGGAGATTCGAATTTACACACTTCTGCTTGCACTGCGCTTGCTTTACCTACTGAACCACCCTCCCTCAGTCCTTGTCTTTCTTTTTTTTTCTGAGGGTGCTGGGGATGGAAGCCCAGGACTTGTGCATGCTGGGGCACACCTCTGAGCTACAATCCCACCCTGGCCCTAGTTTAAGGTTTTCTTTTGCAGGAGGCAAGGGGACTCACCAGGGGAGTCTGTATTTTTGATCACACTGGTCTTGTCTTTCTGAGCTTCTTCCTGTATCAGGGAAGGAGGAGGCAGCAATGATCAGGCCCAGGCTAGACCTGGACTTTCTGCTTGCCTGCTTCCTGGTCCCCACCTACTTGGAGGTTGCACCTACCACATTGGGATAAGGGAAGTCAAACCGGACAAAGGCATCCAGGTCACTGGGGGACAGCCCTGTAGGTAAACAAGGGTCAGACCTAGGGAGAGAGGCCAGCCCACCCCTGCCTCTGGGGCACCCCCTCACCTGTGGGTGTGGGCAAGTTGATTCCCTTCACGATAAACAGAAGCATGTCGTTGTTGCTCAAGTCCGGAAAGATCCTTTCAGTAGGCAGGGAAACAGAGGCAGGCACCTCAGCCCCAACCTGCAGCTCTCTTTCCCCTCAGTGGGGCGGGGAACCCTCCAGATGGTGGGAATGCCACTCCTGGGTTCAGGCCGCAGAGTTAGGCCTGACTTCTGGGCTCTGTTCGGTGCTCACGTACTTATTTGGTACCTACTTCTATTTATGTTTGTGTAATTTATTGTGTGTGTACACTCACGTGCATGCATGCAGGTGTGCCATGGCATACATGTGAAGAGAGAGTTCTTTTCTTTGAGCTCAGGTTGCCAGGCTTGGTAGTAGGTCCCTCTAGCTGCTGACCTACCTCATTGGCCCTCATTTCCTGGCAGCATCTCAGCTGTGCCCTTTATATTCCTGGAGTCCTACTAATTGCCACCCAGGACTCCAGCTGCTGGAGGATCCTTCCCTTTTGAAACAAAGTCCCATGTAGCGCAGGCTGGCCTAAAACTCACCTATATATAGCCAAGGCTGGCCTTGGATTTCTGATCCTCCCGCCTCCGCCTCCTGAGGGCTGGGATCACAGGCATGTACATCTGATAGATGAGGTCCTGGATCCCAGGACCTCACGAGTGCTGGGTAAGCATTCTACCAACTGAGCTACACATCCAGCCTCTTCCTGCCATTTAATAATTACTTTCTGAGTGTCTGCCAAGTGTCAGCCAGGGCCCTAGCCAACGCAGCACTTCATGCCCACCCCAGAGCCTTTGCATGCCTGTGTGCCCAGAGTCGAGTCCCGCAATAGTGTAGCTCCCTCCCCAGAAACACCCCAGTGGGGGCTTTGGGCCTACTTGATGACACTGAAGGTCCTTTGCTCAAAGCGGGCAGCAGGTGTGGGGAGACTGCGGGCGAAGGCTTGCTTTAGGGTGTCCATGCTCCGCTTACAGTCTTCTGCCAGCTTCTCGAACCTGCAGGGAAGGTATTGCTTGGGGCCCTGGCCAGCTGGGCTGCCAGTGCAGGTACTGGCGAGGGGGCACTTACTTGATCGTTTCAGTAACGTTGCCCAGGTGGGTGAACTGTGTGGCGTGGTTCAGACACATCTGCAGGGGAAGACTGAGTGTGGGTGGACGGCCAGGAGGAACAGTACCGGGGACGGGGACAGGTCACGGATGGAAACTCACTTCATGTTGCTGTCTCAGGAGTTTGGTAAGCTCCCCATAGCGCCGCACAGCCTCCTGAGACAGTCCTGGGCCAGGCCGTTGCACCAGTACAAAATCGTCCTTGTTGACAGGGGCGGGTGGCACCTGTGGAGGATGAGGCTGGTAGGCAAGGGCCTCCTGGCCCACTAGGAGCAGCTCGTCGGGGGCTTTGACATCTTCCTGCCCCTT